GCTCTTACTCCTGCTCCTCTACAATTGCCCACTGCAGGAAGCAGTATAATCGAAAGCTCTAGATGAGAGAGATTTGAGAAATGGATGAGAGAGATCTTAGGTGGCCATTACTATCATCTGACGTAGCAGAACTTTCTGGAAATTGTGTTTTCTACATTCTCTGCTACAGGGGAAGGTAGGAATTCAATACAAAAACGGTGTACGCCGAATCTAACGGTCCCATTATCATAGTTGGCACAACCTAATTTTGAGTGTAGGTTTATACAGTACTAAGGTCTTATGTCAACCTTAGACCAACGCCAAGCTACTCTTTCCCCTCCCCTTCTCCCGTTCCTTTGAACGTAGGCCGACCTCAACAGGTCTTTGTGTATCCAGCTTTGCTTGACAAAGACTAGGCGGGCTACGCCTATCACACAAACCGGTGGTAGACCTGGTATTGAAATGACGATAACGATAATTGTTGGAAGGGCATTTTTGAGACCATAAGCTACTACACAAGCCTAGAGTCAATCATATAGGCTAGGCCGATTCAGGTTTTCAGAGCTCGTGCTGGCCGCCATATCAATCGGTGTTCCTATTGGCTTTCCGTAAGTTCGTCGACAACTCCTCATTGGCTATCCTTAACAAAAGTTTGGTTCCTTCGAATTCCTTGCGTAGGTGCGCCGCAGCTGCGGCGTTGCTTCGGCGTAGACATTCGTTCCGTTCTTTTCTATGGGCGCATTCAGACTGGTCTGCGCTGCACCTTCGGCGAGGCTGCGGCGAGGCCTCGCCGAAGGACAATGTGAACGGGCCTTTAGATGCAATTCTCCAACGACGCTGGGAAGGTTCAAACTCAACGTTCCTACACATTCAATTTCACTTCAATACATCATTCAACTTAACATTCGATTGAATATTCGTTTGTTACCCAGGTCCTTCCTCTTCCCCCCCAACACAGTGACGAATACGAGGATATGGGGGGGGGGGGGCGGGATAGAAGCGCCTTTCTATGAATAATTTCTGTATTCCCCACTGCTCTAACATATGCACTGTCCATCACGGACTTTTGAGATTCTCATAGGAACCTAACAAGGAATCTCATTGACTCTATATAGGAATGTGACATTCTTATAGCAACCCTATAGGATTCCTCTATAATTTCTATCGGACCTTTTCCTAAGGGGGGACAAGTTTGTGCCACTACTCAGTTTCGAATTTTCTTAATTCCACGAGGGTATTTCCAGATAACAGAAGGGCTGAAAGCTTGAATCCGATAGTTTCGAAAGGCAGAGGTAGGGGGGATTGAAGTGCTGTGGGACACTGGTCATTTTTTCTTGTTGATAAAAATGAAACTGCATGCAGAGATATCATATCACGTGCTGCATATCTTCGGGATTTGGATTACGAATCGTCCAGCCTGGGTGGAAAAAATCTGCGAAGTTCGATATTTCCGCTTCTTCACTAAACCATTTGCTCGTTACTCATACTAAATGTGTTGCTAGATCGGCACTCGATTTCGTCACTCGTTTCATGGGCACTGCTTCTGTCCTATCTTATACTATTATATTATTCGTTCTGTGAGATTGCTTGAGTGTTTCTTCAGTGCTCGGAAACATAAAAGTTTCCGACTTCCGGGTGACTTAGCGTGCAGTGGGACAGTCGATCAAGGGATAGACTGAAGCATACTCCGACTGTTCCACTGTACACTCACCATAAAAGTAAAGGAAGGGAGGCAATTTTATAGGGAATTTTCTTGCTGATTGGGGAATATTTAACTCCCTCAGGTTACTGCCAAATAACCTGAAATATTGCAAAATAATTGTGCAAAATGCGAGTCATGTCCTTTGAGCGGTATATTTACACCTATGACCTTCGTGAGAGTCGGCCTAATTAGAAGGTGGAAGATATTTTGTTGCGTTTCATGTAGAATGTAAGCAGGAAGAAGTAAAATCGACAAAATTTTGTTATTAATTGAAAGCAAGGAGTGCGTTGCAGTACCCGATTGCCTGTCCCACTATCCATAAGGAGGGGTACAGTGATACACTTTCACTCCGATTCAAAATCCATAATAAAACTGTCACTCGAAATGATGAAAGCCAGCACCTATTTGTTGTCATGGTGTCCTATGACAGATGGACAAAATTTTTCTGGACATTCAAAGTGAATGACCGATTTAGCCCATCTCTCTCTCATGAGCTATCGAACTGGTTGAGTGAGCTATCCAACCATCGTTCCTTTGCAATATCGTCTCGGCGTTGATCACTTGGATTTTCTGGATTCACCCCAGCTGACCAAGATAATTGGGCTTTGTAATCTTTCATATATGTTCCAATCGAGATCCAACCGAGTTTACTCTGGAAAATAAGGGTCAACTCAACAATTCCAGAAAGGTGGATGGGTTGGGGAGGACCCTTACCATGAGGCATTCCATCAAGTTCATTCTAAAATTAAAGGGTATATTTTCAAGTTAAAAGATTTCGTGAGAAAGATGGCTATGCATGGGGTGGAAAATAACACTCTAATCATTAATAATGACTCCTCCTTTTTTTTATCTACCAAAATACCAAATATTTGTCTATGAATACCCTACAATGGCCGCTCTTAATATAGAACCGCAATTTAGTTGCACTCTCACAGGCAGCAAGAGAAACTACAAACATGCATAAGTTCATAACTTGTAAAATGCATGATTTTCTATTACATCCGCTCGACTAGTGAAGCAAGTAAGAAATGTTGCTGACAATCGATTCGCGACCCCCGTTGTCCCATTGAGCAAGAAAGCAACATCTCTATAAGAGCCAATGGTAAACTGGTGAATGAGTGTTTCTGGTTTCAACTGCAGGAGACAAAGCTGGCTGATCTGCTGGATCTGAAGAGATGGGAGAGACAAGCCATACTGGTGACGGTGGGGAATGCCATCCTCCAGTTATTCTCCACGGCAGCCTACATGTTCATGATGAACGTGGGCAACTTCGTCGTGGGGATGAAGGACTTCAACGAATTTGCTTATCGATTTGGTATCTGCTCCACCATCGTCATCGGGGTGTACATCGTGAACAGCGGGGCGTATCAGGTCGCCTTCTTCATGACATTCTTCAGGGATGTCTTTAACAGGATCTCCGACGACGTCCACGAACTTCTCGTTCGTAGAGGCTGCATGTCTTTCGACCCCTTCTTCAATATTCGCCTCAGCGACACTGGTGCATTCCTCATGCATTCTCTCACTTTAAAGTAATTTATCCACAAGGCTTTGAATTCCTGACCAAAGACGCGGTGACGCCTGCAACTGTGTTTGCATCACTAAGTTGATTCCCAAAACACCATTTTGAATGTGCATTTCCAAAGCTCAAAATCCCTTATATTTAGATGCTACAACTCGAAGTGAAGGAGAAAACGTTTGAAATGGCTTCTCGTCTTGCAAGAGTCAACGACATACATTGCGCATAACTGGAATGCATAAGATTTCAAGAGGGTCAGAAACATTCTCGCACTCAAATAGTTCTGTCACCCTTAAGTTATCCTAGAATTTGGCTCGGATGATCTTCCAGAACAGGCTGGGAAATGTATTGCTCTGTTACCATGCACACCTCAAAACTATATTTCATAATGAAACCGACGTTCTGAGCTGAATTAAGATCGAGGGAGTCAACAGAAAAGGTCGTGTTGTCAAAGAAACCAACCCCGCTGCACTGAGAAGTTCTCGAGTCTCAATTGCTCGAAAGCAGGACGCTGAGTCACAAACGAAGGCAAAAAATCATGCAAATAACTCAATACAGACACCGTTATTGTCGAGTAGAAAAATTATATAAAATGCTGACGTGCTAATAATTTCAATTTTTGAGGGTATATATAAGAGGTGCATTCAAAACAGAATCATCATTGTGGCACTATTTCTTCTTAAGGGTGACACAAAAGTTCTTAACTTTTTTTTGTAACCTCTATTAATTCTCGAATTCTCGAACATTCCCGAAATATCCACCATTTCCCGAACTACATCTCTTCGGAGGATTGGCCTCCATAACTGCCTGATCTCAACACAATGGACTTTTCCGTGTGGGGTATTTTGGAATCCAGGGCCTGTTCAACACCTCACAAAAGTTTGAACTCTCTACGACGTGCTCTCCGAACAACATGGAATCTAATTTCAACTGAAACGTTGTGTAACATTGTAGCTAACTTCCCAAAACTTGCATAGATGCTAATGGTGGATATTTCGAAAGTATGAGATTTGTTTGAAAAGACTAGTGTTTGAGCTCAGTTTTTTGTCAATTTGGGATTTTTCCATGAGCTTGTTAAATTATATTATTAAAGGCTGAAAAAAGCTACGAACTTTTGTGTCACCCTGTATTTTCAGGCACTTTTCCAGATACCAGGAGCAGCATGCTGAATGCTTTAGTAGCTGTTTCTTCATCTCGTGCGTGAAATTTCAGCATTGAACCAAATGTTTTCAAAAATTTTTTCTCAGATCTTCCAGGAGAATCAAAAGATTACAATGATTGATTCTTCAGGAGAAGGACAAAGGGTCTTTTATTTCGTCATTCATTGTAGGGGTCAAATCATTTCGTTATGCGCCATACCTTGTAGTTCATTAGAAACGCCATCCATTGTATGATGTTAAACTTCCATAATTTTAAAAGTGGATGACCTCGAGAAGAAAACAAGTTCCTTCGAAGAGGAGTTGGAGAAGCTGCGACTGAAACATGATGAAGTCGCTGTGGGATTCCGACTTTTCGAGATTTCCACAAGCAAACAGCTTACCGTGTCGATGGCATTCGACATCACTGCTGCCATTGCTGCCTATTACTTCTCCTTCTCGGCCTTCCTTGACGGTAAGGCCACGACACAAGGTAAAAGAAAACAAATATATTTGTCGCTTTAACCTTTATAGGACGAACGGGATGTATGTTGTCCGCAATGTTTCTCCGAGCGGGACACGTGTTGTGCCACTGAAAGTCCCAATAAGTTTTGCATGGTCGGAACATTTTTTTGAAAAGGTACGCCAATTAATTTATTTTAAATTTATATTTATAATGCTAGCTCAAAAAAATGAAAAAAAATTATTGTTTTTGCAATATCTAACGCCTTGGGGATAAAAGAGTGCATTTACTGTAAATTCCGACCGTCAGGGAAGCCAAGTATTTAACAAGCCCGTACGACAAAGTTTAACGCATCTCCTTCCCTGCACAATTTGTTCAGCAGGATACACATACATAAGAGGCTAATCTATCCATGTGTCATTCGGAAAAACTCCTCCATAGACGAATGAACGGGTTTCCATGAGTGAAGGGGAGAGGGGTAGTTTAAAGTTTAATGCTTTCACTTAAGTTCAGTAAAAGAAAGAGACATTCTGGAATCACAGTCAGCGGCCGAGAAAGCATAACGACGTGCACGAGATGCTGCTTCCAGGAACGATGAAACTGATAAAAAGAGAGCAGAAAGGCATGCACGAAATGCTTTCATTCGACTAATTTCAGCTCGTGCGTGCACGGACTTTTATACTACCTGTAGTAGCTAATAATTAAGGAAGTGAGGGAAGTATTTTCGCTTAGAAAGAGATTTATGGTGCCGAGGAATCTTGTGGATTGTATTCCCTGTTTAATTAAATTGGCTCAAATGTATCATAAACGATGGTAATTTATTTAATACCAAAATGCCATTTCCTCGTGTGTTTACTCTCGATTGATGACTCTTTTTTTCCTTTTTATTTTCACAATCTGGCTTGCTATTGAAAGGAGGAAGCAACAAATGGAATGAGTCTGCATCCGCTTTGGCTTCGGTGTTCGTAGGACTCGTTCACACCATGAAATTCGTCTGGGTCGCTGAGCACAGTCATCGACTCATGGAAATGGTGAAACGATCCTCTCCATCCTTCAGACGAACGGTTTTAAGCTAGAGGCTTCTGTTACTTCACTTCTTTCATAAGTTGTATACTAGCGTTTTGCGTATATTAATCAATTGATCTAAGCGACAGCTACATTTCAAGTTAACAGAATGTATAAGACTCAAAAGACAATATGACGGTAATATCCCATTTCACTGGGTATATCCCTGCAAATCGTACAGGCATCGCTGGGAAGGAGATACCTGAGACGAGTGCTTCACTCGAGGTTGAGTTCATCCGAACAGCACCAGGTCTCTGCCTTCCTGGAGCAGCTGGATCTTGCCCCTGTCCGACCCTCGGCTGCCGCCTTCTTCGACCTCAACCGGGGTCTTCTCGTCTCTGTATGTCTGACCTTTCCTCTCACCTCTCCTCATTTTTTTGCTTTCCTCTGCTTCTTCGTCCTCAACAAGGTCTTTTCGCTCCGTTAGCTTTCCCCTTTTCCAGCATCTTTTGCTTCGAAAAATAAGCTTGAAATCCTTCCACTTTCTCGGATGTATGTCTATTTGTTATTAGTTTTTCTTTTTATACATCTGGCACTTCCGGTGGAAGAAAATTAAGACACATTGCCTATGGTTGGAATTGTTTCGTAATTTAACTAATTTCATTACATTTATCCTCATCAGCATGTAATTAATTTAATTAAAATTAATTTCTAAAATGCGTAACTTTGTATTACAGGCAGTGGGAGCAATGCTGACATATCTGATCGTGCTGATCCAGTTCAAGATATCCATGAATAATGACATTGTCGGAAACAGCACTCGTTCCAGATGAAGTTGCAGATTTCATCTCCTCGTTGTTCGATTCGGTGTCATTCGTAGTTTCTGTTCATGCAATAGGTGCACCAATGATCAACATCATCACTGAAGAAAGTACTGTATGCACATCTTCAGCAAATAAAGTCATCCACTACTTCAGATACATTTCGATAAGCAGTGGTGGAAAGTTGTCAGACAGGGTCTGTGCTCTACATCCACCTGGGAATATCGATGCCTTGAAATATTCCCTGTCGGGGTCAATCAGCGTTGTATGAACGTTAATTTTGAGAGAGAAGAGACTGCAGCCTGGGCCCTTCTCTCGAGGACTGCGACCTCTCTGCCAGGGAGCCAAAGGGCGGTGTCGTCTGCATACTGACTTACGTGGATGTCGAGTTTAGGAGGTATAGAGGAGGATAGATCGTTAACGTAAAGGATAAAGAGAAGCGGAGCGATCACAGATCCCTGAGGGACTCCCGCTGTTGGGGAAAAGGATTCGGAAAAGGAGTTGCCGACCCTGACCCTAAAGGTTCTCTCGGACAGATATGAGGCTATCCAGCGCAAGAATCGCAGGGGGATTTTAAAAAGAAAGTGAAGTTTATAGATTAGCCCTGCGTGCCATACCTTATCGAATGCTTTGGTAACGTCAAAGAAGAGAGCTAAGAGATGCTTTTTACTGTTGACAGCCTCGAGCGCGTCGTGGTGGAGCCGAACGAGATGATCGGTGGTACTTAAATTAGGTCGAAAGCCTGATTGACAAGAGGTGAGAAGGTTTAGAGATTCCAGATAGTTAGATAGTCGAGCGGTTAGAATTCTTTCAAGGAGTTTTTGAAGAGAGCTGAGACTGATGGGGCGGTAGGAAGAGGGATCTGAGGGATCTTTATCGGGGTTTGGGTATCATAGTTACGTTGGCGGACTTCCATGCGGGGGGGACGTGACCGAGATTAAGACAAGCGTTAAATGCTAGATGAAGGAGCTGGAGGGCTTTTTCTGGAAGGTGTTTAAGAGAAGCTACGAAGATGTTATCTGGGCCAGGAGCTTAATTGGGATATATTTTAATCGCGGCCTCGATCTCTTCTATGGTGATTTTGTTAAGTAGTGCTTCCTGATCGGGAGAGAGACTTTCAGGAAGAAGAGAGGGTTTGGAGAGGGAGAAGTTAAGTTATTTTGTTTTGGAGATCGAGGCTTTCTTTGGGGGGAATCGGCCCCAGGGAGCTCGGCGGCTCGGTCATAGCTTCCAGCAGGGTGGCGGCAAGGACTGAGGCTTTGCTGTCGTCACTGCAGTGGGTCTTACCTTGATATTTAATGGGTTTACTTTGATTGTTTGGGGGTTCCCGATTCTTTTAAAGAGCTTCCAAAAGTTAGCTGGATCCTCTTCGGTGTTAATCTGTTCACAAAATTTACACCAATATGCCTCGTTTTCGTTTTTAAGGAGAGTTTTAATTTCGTGGTTAAGCCTGTTAATGAGAGGTTTTAATGCGGGGTCTTTAGAGCGAAAATAAGCGCGTCTTAGTTTTCTACGTTTCTTAATTGTATACAGGGCTTCTTCAGAGAGAGAGTAAGGTTTATGGGAGGTAGAAATTTTGGGTATTGTTACTTCTTGCGCGATATAGATGGACTCAGTGACGATAGTGACCGCCTCGTTAAGCTGGGGGATGGCATCCATAGGGAGGGAGTCTGGGAGGAGGGTTTCTACTATGTCCTGAAAAACGCACCAGTCGGCATTACGAAAGTCAAAGCGGGGTTACTTGGGGTTACAAAGGGGTTACTTGGGACAGGTGGAGGGAGGTGAGGGAAGTTGCACTTTACTATGATAGGCACGTGATCACTCCCTATGTCCTCTCCTATGGAGAAGTCTTGAAAAAAAGGGAGGAACCGTACATTGCCGAGTGCGAGATCAATCCTGTACGGATTACCGTGAGCAAAGCAAGAATGGGTGGGGGTGTCGTCATTCAGAATGCTAAAGCAGCTGGAAGCTATGAAGTCGCACAGGATGCGACCTGTTTCGTTGGTGTTGTCACAAAACGAAAGCTCGGGGGCGTGTGCATTAAAATCTCCTATGAAAAGCGAGGCGCCTCTGTATTCGTTAATGAAGTCCAAGTCAGCAGAACTAGGAGGAGAGGCAGGAGGGAAGTAGGCATGAAATATGCTTAAAGAGGCAGATGGGAGGCGTATTTTAACTCCAATTATTTCTGATTTGGGGCTCCATTCGCGCTTAATTAGTTCAGAGGCGAGAATATTTGAGAGAAATACCGCAGATCCCCCTTGGTACGGCCTAGACTGAAGGCACGGTTTGTAACCGTGTAATTTCTATAATAATTTTTAATTATGGGCGTGTTCTTACTTTTTAGTTCGCTTAGGCAGAGAACAGAGGGTTTAATTTGATCGATATACTGCAGGATATGCGTTTATTGATTCTTAGAATGAGACTAGGCGAGACATGTAGCGAGGTACTAAACAATCCTGTGCAAGACGATTCCAGGGAAAGAGGGAAGGGAACTTTTGCGTGCTGTGGGAAAAGCGAGACCCCTACCTCCATCTAGTGGCCTGGCGAAGAACTTCAAGGTTTTGAAGTTCTCCACCAGGAGTTCTGCAGTTCTTTTCAATGTGTGAATATGCCCATGTTGGGCCCACATGAGGCCAACATCGTTCCCCAACATTCACGCTTCGCCAACGTTTCCCACCTTTATCCAATGTGGGCCCAACGTAACGTAATTTGCCGAAGGGGGCTGCCGTCGACAAACGCCTCGAGTCATATTCGTGGAGTGTTGGATCCGAGTTGGTTCACTCACGCCACAATCACGATTTTATTGTCATCCACCATGTCGAGATACTCAGACATTTCCAACGATAAACGGTATATTTCATAGTGATACGTGGGGTGAAGGAGATGGTGCAGTGTATGAAAGGCTAGGGTATCGCAACTGAATCTAATATACGAGGGTCGCTTGGAAAGTAATGCCCAATAATTTTTTTAACAAAATGTTTGTATGCCAGGCCCAATTTAAGACTTTCTGCGTAAAATATGAACTTTCCGGTTTAAAAAATTAACAAGTGTTAGAAATATTTGCTGGGAGACAGAAGCAGTGGACACGTTCAAAATGGCTGTCTTGGAGCAGGTATGTGAGAAGCAGAGAGCAGTAACTGAATTCCTTTGTTGGGAGGGTGCAAAGCCTGCAGATATCCACTACCGCCTGAAAGTTATTTTTTTTTAATAGGGACGCCTACATTGATTGCCGTTTGATGTTTTGGACCTGACCCCATCCCACTACTACCCTAGTAGCACAACATTGAATTCAATGTTGAGTCAACATTAAAACCATGTTGTTTCTATGTTATTTGCTTGAATGTACCTCTTCAGACCTGTGAATGACGTCCACAAAGGATATCACTTTGAGGATGTGAAGAATGCAGTTCGAAGGTGGCTTCGTCTCCAGGGCAGGAGCTTATATCGGGATGAAATTCATTGCCCTTGTAAAACGATGGGGAAGGTGCTTTGACCGTTATGGTGGCTGTCAGAAAATAGGTGGTTTATTGCAAAGTCCTTATGGACATTATTTGTTAATTTCATGTAATTATCTTCAATAGAGTAAGAAAAAAATGCATTACTTTCCGAGCGACCCTCGTACTGTATATAGACGATCGTGACTATGACTGACTGACTGATACTAATTCTCCCCTCCCCTGATACCAATACATCCCCTCCGGGCATATTTTTTGTGAGTGACGTTTTGAAAGAATTTTCTTTTTTGCCCTAGCGCATCGGGTAGAAACGGAAAGGTGAAAATTGACAGAAACATAGCTGACGTGATGTTGAGTTCAGGAAAAATATAATTTTTGTGCTGCATCCTCTCAGGCACAGCTTTTGGGTGGGTCGTCTTTCCAATGATATATTTTCAACAATATAAAGGGCAAAGGTATGAGACTGAAAATTGGTGGGCATGGAGTTCTCTGAGTACCAATTTAGATTTAAATATTTTTTAGGCTAAACCCCTTAGGGCACATATTTCGTGAGAGACGCGTTTTTCCAGGATCTTTTTCAATTCAACAAAACAGAGAACGATAGTAAGTTGAAACTTGGCTCAGAAATACCTGTTTGATTGCTGAGCGCAGAAAAAATCCTACTTTTGAAACATGTCGCCTCAAGGCAAATTATGGGAGAGAAGTATTTCAAGATATATTTTCCGCTCTGACAAAAAGGGGCCCATGAAGAGATCCGAAGTTAGGTACACAAGAAATCATTGGTGTCATGATTTCGATAATAAAAAAAATATTGGTCACGTCCTCTCATGGCGAAGCATGGCATGACACATATTTCGACAGGGACATACTTTAAATACATTTTTTGCCACTTCGAAAATGAAGTAACATGGTCTATCTGGATAATGGAGCAAAGAAGGCGCGACCATGGCGAGTTTGTTAGCCAAACAAACTCCCTAGTATAATATATTTTGCTGTTCGTCGATGAGCAGTCTTGCTACCATTACAATAATTTACAAGTACTTATCGCGTCGGAGGAAAATACGGATAACTCTTAGTGGTTTGAATGGGATAGGATTCGAATGGAATTTCAATTTTGGATTTGCTTGTCGCCGGTAATTATTTAAGTAAATGATATACCGAAAGTCGATTTACTTGTACCGAAGACTTAACCGCTATTTTGCCGAGTGCCGAGTGCCGAGTGCCGAGTGCCGAGTGCCGAGTGCCGAGAGCCGAGTGCCGAGTGCCGAGTGCCGAGTGCCGAGTGCCGAGTGCCGAGTGCCAGAAGGCGAGGGAGAATGGCGAGTGGCGAGGGCGAATGGAGAGTGGCGAACGGAGAGTGGCGAACGGAGAGTGGCGAACGGAGAGTGGCGAACGGAGAGTGGCGAACGGAGAGTGGCGAACGGAGAGTGGCGAACGGAGAGTGGCGAATGGAGAGTGGCGAATGGCGAGTGACGAGGGCGAGTGGCGAATGGCGAGTGGCGAGTGGTCAGTGGCCAGAGGTG